ATGCAAGCACAGACCTTCAACTGCCAAAGGATTTAATTTAAAAGCTGAATAATGGGTATTACCCTAAACCTCACTTAAGGTTAGATCACTCTTTTTCAGGAGGTGTTGGTTGCTGAGTCTCCCTGCAGCAGTGCACTGCCTCTTCTGGTGGGAAGGATCTGGGGATGGTGGATTTTGAAGACCTAAATCTCAGGGATTTACCTATCTAATCTAGGTCTTTTATATAGCACCCATTACCATGGTATCTGAAGTGCCTTGAAAACATAAGTGTACACACAGAGATATGTCTCTTTTCTCTGGTCCATGGGGACTGGATTTCAGGTTTTTTGTATTTTTTTTTAATCTGGTATTCTGGTGACCTCCTATCCAGCTATTGTGTGATCAAAAATGCCCCAAACTATTTAAGTGTTTGAAGTGTGAATAGCTCTCAGGAAACCTTAGTTCCGCTCCCTTGAGCTAACAATGTGTGTGACCTTTACAGGAGGAGGATTCATTTACATGTGGAATTAAGCAGGTTTTATTGTTACATTCCTAGATTTAAAAAGCGATGCTGTGATGATTTAGTTGGGAATTGGTCCTGCTTTGAGCAGGGGGTTGGACTAGATGACCTCCTGAGGTCCCTTCCAACCCTGATATTCTATGATTCTATATGTGCCAAAAGGCAGGATAACTTAAGATCAGAACGCTTTAGCAATCATACCTTTAATAATAAAAGTTAACCAGCACATCAGTGAATTGTATGTGTGTGCATGCACACACAACTTGGGATTGTCTAGTTCTTGTGTATAATTATTTCTGAGTTCTTCTAAATGTGAAATGTCATTAAAATATGGTGATAGCTAAAGTATGTTCAGCCATGGTGTAGAGAAAAATATAACACTTTTTTTTTTAAATCTAGGATGTAATATTTAGTGTCTCTTTTATGCTCTTCTCTCTGGAATTGCAGAATTAGCTTTCAATATGGAAGGCAAGACCCAGGCTATACATTTTATAGACAGTCACACTGTTTGCAAAATTGTGGGTATACTTGCTGTTTAAGGTTCATTCGGTGTTTGAAAGTTTGATTGCATGAAATACAATGCTTGGAATATAAGTAAATTACAAAATTTACAAGAAGGCAACACAAAAATATAGCACTCCAAAACACATTTAAAATTTGTAATGTACCCTGGGCAATCCAGGGTCTCCAGCTATCATTTTGAAGGCCTTAAAAGGGTATTCCAGGTCTATTGGTTATCAATGATAAGTCAGGTTTCTCTTGGATGCTGAAGGTAAATGTGGATTTCTTCACCAAGTGACAAGAGATCAACATAGCCTCCCTCGATGTATGGTTTAGCACTGAACATGGAGGTCACCTTACTGGTGAGCCTGATTTTACTGCTTTGTTGGCAAAAAGAGATTTGGGTGCCAGGGTTACTACTGTTTGCTTAGTACTACCGACTTTTTATTATGCATCCTTAAGTGAAACACATGGTATGCACATCAGAACTGCAGGCTTTATCTTTGGCTTTAATGCTTCAACAGAATTAACAGGTGAACTGTTATTTCCTGGAACTCTTTATACAAGTTCCGGAAGGGCTGGGACTTGACTTTGTGGTTTCCTGACTCTTGGAGTAAGACTTTTTGATCTGTGGGTTCATATTTTAACAATGCAACAATGTTTTTCACAGATAATTATTTACAACTTTAGAATGGGTAAGTCAAGGATGAGTTTGTTGGAAGTTGAAAATCTCAATTATAGTGAGAAACCAGTTGTTCCCTTCTAAGAGTTTAGAAACCATGCCCTGTTAAGGGCAATGCAACATCTGTAAGCTTTATGCTGAGATTTTATCCTTTTAAAATAGCAGTGACCAAACTCTGATCTCTATGGAGATTTATACCCAGTATGAAACTGGTGCACAGAGGCACAATAAAAGGAGGACTGATGAACTTCTGGATTGTCTCTAAGTGGTTCCCCTGTTCAGCTAATTCTTCACTTTACCTAGTGCAAATTGTTGATAGACTTTTAAGGCCATTATGATGATCTACCATAGTTTAGATAATCCATAGAGATCTTCTGCATAACACAGACAATAGCATTTCACCCAATAATTCCTGCATCAAGCCCAATAACAATCTTCCTTCTAGGAGGAACAGAAATACAAAGTGTCCATTTCCTTTAGGAAAATAATTATTTAGTATTATGTATGTGGTTGGGACCAGGTGGGGGTGTAAACATGCAGCCCATCATCTTGAATGCCCCTCTGTCTACAGAGGATTGTGGAGCAGCCTCTCCAAAGGGTTTGAAACCATTTCTACTGCCAACCAGAGGATTTCTCTTGGACATATTTGTGCAGCTGGTGCCATAATTGGACCTTGTAAAATGTTGCAGTTTATAGTCTCTTTAAAGTGTTTCTAAGACCAATGAACTCTAAAAATTGCTCTAATGCTAGTGGAAATTTGAGGAGTTATCCTTTTTACCTTTCTATTTTCATCGTTTCTTTTAGTTTTCCTACCTAAGGACAAATTGTCCAGGCCTTCCTGACATCTGAGTAACTTTATTCCCAATACTCAACCCTGTTATCCCCTTTCCCATATCTCCAATTTGTCGTCTTTCCTCCTGTTATCTGCTACCTCTCCATTTTCCTCCTCTTTTCTTTCGCTGTCCAGCAGTACTCAATATTTCAAATAGATTTCAGCTGCAATGGAAATACAATCCCAATAAGGTTCAGTGTACCGAATCCTTCACTAGCCACTGAACTGTGTGGGACAAATTTGTCCTTGGTGTACCTCTAATGGAGCCAGTGGAATAACACCAGGCATCAATTTGTCCTGTTGTTTCTTTTTGCAGCTCTTCCTACTTCTATTGTAATGAGATACAATCACTATAGCAGCTGTTATTGTTTGATCAGCAACACAATCTTTGTTGAGATTTCATTTCCCTTGCAGCCCAAATGCTAGATTATATTTCTCATCTGTGCCTTTTAGCAGACTTTATTTGACATTAAATTACACACCAACCTGGTGATGTTCCACTGCTTGTTAATATAAATTAGTGGCATTTGAAATCCCAAACCTTAAATGGAGGATATGGAAGACTTTGTCCATGTTCAAGTAATAAATCTCCCATTAGCATATGGGAAGTTTACAGCTGTTAGCTACATGCATTTTATTTTTATATCCGTTTGATATGTCTTCATTGTACGTTTAGTTTATTCCTGGTCGTTTTATGTACTTTATATAGATATGGACAAAATTTCTACCATGGTTGGCTGTGTTTGTTTTGGTACTTTATATTTGTGTTGCATTTTGTAAGACTAAAACCTAGTGCTCCTCGTTTTTAGGATTCATGTGCTGTATATTAAACTTCTCAAGTTATTCCTATAAATGACTCTCAGAACTGAATATAATCCCCTGGAAATAATTCTTGCTCTGCTTAAATAATAAAATATAAATAGGATATCTCCATTAATTTATTTATCTCCTAGAACTGGAAGGGACCTTGAAAGGTCATTGAGTCCAGCCCCCTGCTTTCACTAGCAGGACCAAGTACTGATTTTGCCCCTGATCCCTAGGTGGCTCCCTCAAGGATTGAGCTCACAACCCTGGGTTTAGCAGGCCAATGCTCAAACCACTGAGCTAACTGTCTCACCCCCCCCCCCCCAGCTTCTAAAACAGAGGGGAATACCAACTAGAGAGCACGCAAGTGAATGCATGCACCTGGTGTAAATTCCAAAACATTCACAGTTCACTTTGAATAAGTATCCAGAAGCTCAGATCTTTTCCAAACCTATGGTAGACTCCAGTGAGTCTTTCAGCCCTTTGATCCCACACAGTCCCTCTGCATCTTGCTGTCCTCTTTGGAGGATGAGACCTAGTTGTCCTACTGTATTTTCTGTGAGTAGCTCATTTCACCTTTGATAAGGAGTCAGCGGGGGGCATGGGTTTTTCTACCCATAACCAATGGGCAATGCTGTAGGATAGGAAGGTGTCTCCATCTTGTAGGAACTTGAGAAGCAAATTTTTTTTTTAAAAAAAGGACTTTTCTTTTAGTAAATAGAACAGTGTCCATAGGTTTGTCCTGTGATTATGATTATGGCAGGATATGTTCTACCTATTTGGCTTCTAGGAATTTATCTCCACTATTTGTTACTATGGGCAGGGGCGCCACTGCTCCTAGTTCCTGCCCGGGGCACAGTTGTATCATCTTGGTCCAGGCAGCAGGATGATTTTGAGCTGTAGTCAGCCAGGCCCTACTCTTCCAGGAGAGGGAAAGAGAAGACCCTCTCCCAATAGCCCCCTTCTCTGGGCCAGGTGACTCCAGAAAGGGGAGATAAATAACAGAAGCAAATTCCTTAAGCTAGGTCCCAGATCCTAGGTGTAAAGGCTTGATATTCAAACAGACTTGACTGTTCCTGATTCCACCTGAAGAGAGGGAATTAAGTACGCTCAGTTCTGAGAAAAACAGACCTTCCATGTAAACTCAGTTTTTCCAGTGAGTCCAAATTAAGGCCCTGCTCAAGTGTTGTGATGGATTGTTCTTAATCCTGGGGAGCATCCACTGACTTTGGGGGGAATCCTTTTCAGGGGCCTAAACAAGCCCTAAGATGGAGTGTAATATAAACCGTTCATAACTGAGTCTCAGCCGAGACAAGCTGCAGGAGGTAACATGTTTATGGGACCCTCTGCTGGGGGTGCGAGAGCCAAGCTTTGGAGCCACCCGAGCTCGTGTGCAGGTCCGCGGGCTCGTGTGGCTGCTGCGCTGCAGTGTGGACGGGGGTTGCATGCACCGCTTTCCCCGCAGGAGGTGGGAGCGGGGGCCATGCGCGGGGCCAGGCGAGCCGCCGAGCGGCTACTGGGGAGGCTGGAGCGCACTGGCTCGGCTCGCGCCCCGTTCCGCAGCCCTTCGCAGGGAGCGAGCGCCGCGCGCCAGCCGGGCTTGCCTCCGCTCTGCGTTGGATTGCTCCGGTCTGCCTGGAGCCCGGACCCGCTCGCTCGGCCCCAGCGGCGGGGCGCCCAGGCGCGCTCAGCCGAGCGCCGAGGCGCACTTTCAGGAACAATAACAGTGCAGGCGGCGAGGGGCCCGGAGCCGCCGCCGCCCCCCCCCGCGCCATGTACGCCTTTGTGCGGTTCCTGGAGGACAACGTCTGCTATGCGCTGCCCGTCTCGTGCGTGCGGGACTTCAGCCCCACGTCCCGCCTCGACTTCGACAACCAGAAGGTGTACACGGTGTACCGCAACCCGCGCGAGGCGGAGGACGAGGACGAGAGCCCCGGCGACTGGGGCGACCGCCTGCTGCTGCACAAGGCCCAGATCCTGGCGCTGGCAGGTGAGGCCGGGCGGGAGCGGGGTGGGGGGAGGGTGGGTCGTTTGAAGGCCGGACCAGTTAAAAACAAATCGCTCCCGCGAGGGGGGCGGGAGGACGGAGGCGGCG